GAAGGTCATATATTTGGTTTTTTTGACGTTCATCCTTATGCCGTAGTTATTACATATATCTCATTCATACTTTCAACTAGAGGTTGTAGATCTTATACTGTTCTTGCCATTATCACAGTATCGTCAGCATATCGAATGTTATTGATAACTTCTCCATTGACTATTATCCCTTCGTTTGCATGTGAGAGAGCTTCTTGGCATATTTGTTCGGTGTAGATATTAAACAAAAGCGGTGACAATATACAACTCTGTCGTACTCCTCTTCTTCTTCTTCTCGTGCCACTCCTAGCGGAGATTGGAAATCATCATGGCCACTGCGACTTTGTTAGCAGCGCGCCTGAGAAGTTCAATCGAACTACACCCGAACCATTCACGTAGATTACGAAGCCACGATATTTTTCTTCTTCCCACACTTCTTTTGCCCTTAATTTTGCCCTGCATGATGTTTCTTAAAAGTTCGTACTTTTCACCTCTCACAATGTGCCCCAAGTATTCCATCTTTCTAGTTTTTATCTCATTTAGAATTTCGCATCTTTTGTCTAAAGTTTGGAGTACTTGCGTGTTAGTGACACGTACTCCTCTACGTATTTCTATTTCGCCCGATGTTCGGTCTTCTATTTTTATATTATAGTGTATTTTTATGTATGAGAGAGTAATAAAACAATAAATTATGTATGCAAATCCCTAAACTGTTGATACGGCTGACTCAATGAAAAACAGATATTGGTCAACAAGTTTACAGAAGTATATAGGAAAACAATTTTAAATTGAGTATGACCACCAGGTATAAAGGTTGGAGCAGAATAGAATACAATAGTTGTGAGGGTTACTAATCCCTAAATAAGGTTGCCAGTGTCGGAGTGATGGAGGTTAACAGGTACTAATGAATTTGCAAGAAATGTAAGATGTTTATTTTATTGGTTATATATAACCAATAAAAGTTTAATAAGTACCTATCTATTTGCAAAATAAAGTTTAATTCTTTAGATAAAATAAAACGTTTTATTTTATCTGAAATGAGTGCATTCCACTAAGTAAGGGTTTCAACAATCTAACATTTAATTCTTTAATTCCAGGAATCTACGACAGTAATTGACTAGATAATTACCTTCTAAACTTATTCCACAGAAAATGTGATAGTGGGTTTTTCCATTTGGAAGGAAGGTCCAAGTGGCGTATTCAAAATTCTTAACAGTTCACTAAAAGTAGGTACTTCAGTTGCAAGATGCAGTTTATTGTGTATACTAGTGTTATGGAAAATTTGGAAGTGCCGTGTAACCGCCGAAAAATTGGTCCTTTAACAGTTAATGAAAAAACATTAATATTTAATTGTTTTTAAATCATTTACAGACAAACGTTTATGTGAAAGTGTTGATGAGGACCGTTGAGTTAGTTAGCAGTACACTTGGTGTTGGGAAATCTACGATTTACAGAGTTATTAAAGAAGAGAAATGTGGTAGTTTTCAAATGCCACGTAATGCTCCAGGGAAACCAAAATTTCAAATAGAATATCATTTTAAAGAAGGACTTCGACGGAAAGTGCATGAATTCTTCTTTAGACAAGAATTTCCAACATTGGATAAAGTTCTTGTCTCAGTTCGAGATGATAAGGATTACCCAGAAATGAGTCGAAGTACGTTATGGAAACTTTTAAAAGAAATAGGCTTCCGCTGGAAAAAGAATCCCAGAAAGTCTATTTTATTAGAAAGAAGCGATATTGTCATATGGAGAAGACATTTTCTAAGAACCATAAAGGAAATGAGAAACCAAAAAAGAAAAATATTTTATCTTGATGAAACATGGATCAACGAGGGTCATACACCAAATAAATTTTGGCAGGATGAAACTGTTACAAGTCAAAGGTACGCTTTTGTAAATAACTTATCTACTGGTTTAAACCCACCATCAGGAAAGGGACGCAGGCTGATAATAGTACACATTGGCAGTTCAGACGGTTTTGTTGAAGGTGGTTTATTAACTTTTGAATCAACTCGTACCGGTGACTACCATGAAGACATGAACGCTGATGTCTTTCAAGAATAGTTCGAACAAATGATAGATCTTCTTCCTAAGAACTGTGTAATAGTAATGGATAATGCAAGTTATCACTCCAGACTTATAGAAGGACTGCCCACAACCAAGTGGTTAAAAAAAGACTTGCAGAATTGGCTGAGTTCAAAAAATATTACGTACCATCCCGGATCTATAAGAAAGGAACTTTATTCGTTGTGTGCCCTTCATAAAGAAAAATTTAAAAAATACGAAATTGATGAAATTGCCAAAAATCGTGGAATGACAGTACTTAGATCCCCACCATATCATTGTGAATTAAACCCGATTGAACTGGTATGGGCACAGATAAAGAGTGAAGTTTCAAGAAAAAATACCACTTTTAAAATTCATGATGTTAAACAGTGGTTTTTGGAGGCCGTAAATAATGTAAAACCTGAAAACTGGGAAAAGGCAGTAAATCACACTTTTAAAGAAGAGGAAAAAATGTGGAAGCTGGACAATATTACTTACTGATAAAATGATCGAACCAGTTATTATAAATCTTGGTTCTGAAAGTTCATCTTCTGAATCTGATTTGGATTTGTAACAAGTAGCTGTAAGTTTTATATTAATATTTTTATTTATCTATTTAACATACCTTAGACGGTTTTAAAAACTCTTTTTCTCTTTTGTAATTTTAAAAAAAAAAAAAAAATGTGAATTTTTTAAAACCCTTTTTAATGTAGGCCAGTCAGTTCTAATATAGTGTGTGATAAAAGAGGTCACTTTTGTTTACATACACATAACACTTTATAACAATGAAATAATTCATTTATTTTTTACAATTATTCAAAGTAACTTTTCAATTAATCTTGAGCACGCCCATGGAGTGGTCGGAGGTACCAGTTAAAATTATGCTAATTACTCTCTCGTTCATAAAAATAAACTATAGCTCGTTGATTTCAGTACATAGGAATGACAGTGGATTGAAAGATATTTTCCCTAATTTTGACATTGCTTTGCGCATTTATTTGGGCATCTCAGTTGTCAACGTGTCCGCTGAAAGGTCATTTTAGAAAATTTCAAGAATTAAAAATAATTTCCGATCAATTGTGACGCAAGAACATCTAAAGAATTTGTCGAGACAATAAATTATGCTACGATATTATAGATAATTTTGCAAAAGAAAAATCAACAAAAGAAATCTCTGATGTGATCAAACTGGAATGGCATTTTTTTCTGTTATATATATATAAAAGGATCACTCAACAGAGTGATTTGACGGAATTTGACGGTCGTACTCCTTTTTCCGATATATATATATAATATATATATATATATAATATATATATATATATATATATATATATATATATATATATATATATATATATATATATGTATATATATATATATATATATATATATATATATATATATATATATATATATATATATATATATATATAAACATTCTAGTTTAAATCCATTTTTAATATATTTTTATTTAAATAAAAATTCTGCTTGCAATTTTTTTTTCGCCAAAATAGTATATTATGTTTGAAGGGCGGCTACTAGAGAACTGCCTAGGGCGCCAATTGACCTAAATGCGGCCCTGGCGACGGTACGTCCAGCGTGCATTCCTAAACTTGACCAATATTATTCACCATTTATTTATGCTATTTTTTCATAAACTATACTACATTTATTTCTTTGCATTTGTTGGACTTCATGAGGTGTTAGGTTAAAATGTGCTTATTTTATTTTTCGTTGCTAGATAATTACTTTAATAACGATTAGTTTTGAATGCCTCTGTGGCACTTAAAAGTGTAGGAAATATGCCTTAAAAGTTAACATTTTAAACCTAATTTTCAAAAATTTATCCCCAGACCTCCCGGTATCTCACCAAAAAGTTCATAGCCTCTCCCCACCCGAAAATCGGTCCTGGATCCGCCCTTGGATCTTACATTGTTTATAAGACGTTTAATATTATGCATGTTTCATTTATTTCATATTGTTAACACCAAAATTAACAAGAGCAGTTGTTAGATACCTGTATCAACGAGTGTCACGAGTTTTCTGGTAAATTAACCTACCTTCGCCAGTAAGTTGACGAATCAAGCTGAAAATTTACTTATTTTACTTGTAAAGACCACTGAATGTGTAGACCAAAAATTGTTAAAATCGGATTATTACTTTATGTAGGTGTTAACCTCTTGTTGTCAATCATTATATAAATCCGTATATATCATCCTTGGATGTTTTGTAGCCATAACTTCGAATGAGCTAATAACTAATTTTTTTAAATTAATCAAGATAAATATAAAATTTTATTTTACAAATCGTTTCAATGAAAAAAATAGTAGGAAGAGTATAGCGGCATAAACTTGAACTTGACAGCATTGTTGGAAGGTAACCAAAAGATAAACAAAACATATAATATTAACCTTGATGAATATTATTAAAGCTCGTTTAAAAGAATAAAAAAAAATAATCATATTATAGTAGAATAAAAAAATAGTCTTAAAAATAATTAGATAATTTATCAACTTTCTGTTCTGACCTCAAATTATTGATAGTTTATCAATAACATATTGATAAATCCAAATTTTTATCAATGTGGCATTATTGCCCAAATAAATATACAAATTTAAAAATATATTTTTTGGTAGGTAGTCCTTACTGTTTCTGTATTCATTAATAAACAACCAATATTTTGATATCTTATCAAATATTTATTAGCTGAGTAAAATTTTTTTGATAATAATATTACATAATCTGAACAGTGACATACTGCAAATATCTATGATTAAGGGTCAATCTTTTCACCTCACATCTGTCAGATAGTTATCTGAAGTTGAAAAGACCGGCCCTTAATGTTTTAAATTCTTACTGCTATTCCTTTAAAAATTCGTCGTGACCAAATACAACAAAAAATGTTATTGGTTCAAAACTTCGTTATAACATCAAGGGAGGTGAGCAGGGCAGTTAAATGTAAAAGCATTTACCTTGTTAATGATGATTCCCCTGCTGGAAGCATCCATGGATCTCCATTTCGAGCCCCTTGCGAATGCAGCTTTTGCTGCACTCACAGCTTTGTCGATGTCCTCTTTGTCCCCTTCCGCAGCATTGGCTATGGGTTTTCCGGTACTTGGGTTTAGAACAGGGAATGTTTTCTTACTAACGGAATCCACAAATTGATTGTTTATGAATAGCTGAAACAAAATTTAATTTAGAAAATTTTAATAACAATTTTTACTGCGATATCTCTCTGTTCTCTGTTCTCTAAAGGTATAGAAATGTAAGTTGGTATAAATCAATTTGACGCCTGAAGAACGCTTCCAAATTGTACAAATTTATTTTGAAAATTGTGGTTCTGTTCGAAATACATATTGCTCACTAGGTCCATTTTATGAACATAATAGTACATCAGAGCAAGTAGTTCGATTCACCATGGAACGTTTTTGCACCACGTTAACTGATAATATGCATCCACAGATACGTCGTACAGTGAGCACAGAAGAACTTTTAGCTCCTGTAGAGCATAGCATACAGGAAGATGCGAATCAGTATATCCTCCATCGTGTACAGCAGTTGGATACGTGTCCATTCACTTTATGGATGATTTTACGAAAAGATCTTGCTTACAAAATCTAATCCAATATAATAGTAAGGCATAGATTCGTAGATCAGTTAGTGGATGGAAAACGAGATTGCCCTTAATTCCGATTTTCATAAGCGAATGTTGTTTAGCGATGAAGCTCACTTTTGGTTAAATGGCTACGTGAACAAACAAAACTGCCCTATTTAGAGTTAACGTAATCCTCAAATGTATGTTGAGAAACAAATGCATCCTGAAAAACTGACTGTGTGGTGTGCTTTATGATCTGGTGGAATTATTGGATCGTACTTCTTCAAAAACGATGTTGGTCAGAACGTTACTGTCAATGGTGACCGCTTTATAGCCATGATTACTGCCTTTTTCATTCTCCCATTAAACAACCATGAAGTGTAGGAGTTGCTGTTTTAATAAAGCTCCTTATTGAAGGAAATGTTTGATAACCGCATAGTTTCACGTTTCGGACCGTGAATTGGCCTCCAATATCGTGCGATTTAACACTGCTGGACTATTTTATATGAGAATATGTGAAGGTCCTATTCTACGCCAATAAGCATCGGACGATTGACCACTTGGAGGACATCATTCGCCGCATTATTGCCGATATACGGCGACAAATGTTGGAAAAAGTGATCGAAAATTGGACCTCCAGATTAGACTACGTCAGGGCCATCCATGACGGTTATATGAAAGAAATCATATTTAATTGTTTATTGTTTATCTTTATAAGACAACACCCTAATATGGGTTTTATTATTTCAGCATTTAATTAGCTTTGTATCGACAGACCTGAAGATGCTTTGCATATTGTAGAAAGCGAAACCGGTCGTCTAGATAGTTAAATTAAACTGATTGTGAGAAAGTCTTATTTATTATTTCTTTTACCTGTTTGAAATGAACTCACACAAGCAACACATTCATGATTTTTATAAGAAAATACCTTAATTTTTGTTTTTTTTTTAATATTTGTAGCTGCTTTTGAACAGACTGAACAGTGATTTTAAGTAGGGACATTTTACCCTTCAAAATCACTATTATTTCGCTCATTAAATTTTTGAAATCTCGGAAAAAAATCACAATTACCCTCGTTCCGGATTGCGGCACTATTTTTTTCTTCAGTTTTGACCACTAAAAAAGTGGATATTTTCTTTGGAATTCGTCATATACATGACAAAATCAAATGGCGATTGGGATGTGGAAAACGACAAACAGAAAATGCTGTATAGATGAATTAGTAAGTAATATTGCCTAAAGTAACTGGAAACATGTTAATGAGACTGGAAAGCAAACACAAATTAACATAAATGATATGATGTACGGCAGCAATATTGTTTTTTGGGGTTATAGGCCCTCTTATGGAATTATTTGTTCCTGACGTTTCGTCTGTAACTGCTGCAGTTATTCCCATTATTAATTAACAGAAGATAATGAAGACCACGCCGTTTGATAATGTCTGTTGCAGTTGATGATGAAACCTCAGAAAGAATATTTTTAAACTATCGTGTAAAAACTTGGAAAACAATGTATAATTACAAAAAAACTGTTGTGCACGCCTGTACTTCTTAAAACAAATAGGACGAGCACTTTTGTAGAATATAGCATAGAAAGATAGTGAGGTTAGTATAATATAAGTCTCCGAAAGGCCCTAGAACTGTTGGAAGTCCGTCAAAAAGTTAATAACATTAACTCACAGCAACAAGTAAGCGAAGATTAAAGGTTTGAATGAAAAGTTTGATCGTTTGAATGGATATTTTCTTTGTATGTGTACTTATTTGTTGCACACCTACCTAACCGTGGTTTATGTCTTGTGTGTTATAATGAAGGCGCTCTGAAGAACCCCTGTTCGTGAAAAGTGTCCTTCTTGTACAATCCTGAATGAATGAATACTAATATTTGTATATAATTACGTGGCTAAAGGTTCTGAACCAAGTAAAATATATAAAAAAGTAAGGGAATAAAAGATTCGATTTGTCCAATATAATGATAAAATGATAAGAAGATAAAAAATAAAAGAAGTAAACAAATGCAAAGCCGTTCGTGTCCAGTTTTTTCTGTTTTCTGCTTATCTCTTTCAGGTGCTAGACATTTTTTCTTTGTAGTTTTTTGTACAATGTCACTTTAAGATCTCTTGTAGTTTTTAGCTTCCGTCATTCACTGACATTTAAGAAATTATTTTATTTGCCTTAAAAATTGTTCCTAATTATCGAATGTTATTTCTCATTCTTCTCGTTTTAACGAGATAATTTAATAATTGCATCATATCAATAACGTGAATAACCTGTATCAATACACGAATAATTGCAATCTTCACATTAAGTAGAAAATCGATATTTTGACGTTAAAATTGTACGGAATTTGCTTTTGAAATTAGCTGTTGTTTCTAAAATTAAAAATGATACCGCTGGCGCTGTAAAAAAAAAGAATAACGTAATCATTCCGATTAATCATTTTTTTTTTGTATGTATACTGTATTATGTCGAATATTATTTATATTAAAGACTAACATATATTAATATTATAAATAATCACCTGTGAGAATTTTTTGTCAATTCTTCTATCAGGCGCGACCCCCTACGAATAGGGGATGCCCTCTGGGTGTTCGTAGCGCCAATGCCCAGTGGGTAGCGGGAATACCTGCCGTGGAACAAAAACTGACACCTGGGAGTAGGAAAGAATGGGAGTCAACATTCTCGGAGTCAGTGAAGTTAGATGGCCTGGATCTGGACAGACAAACATCGATAACCATGTAATATACTATGCTGGTAATAACGATCCTCATCATTATAACGGAGTCGCATTCATAGTTGACCAGAAAAGCAGTAAATGTATAAAGAACTTTATACCTATATCTGATAGAGTAGCTATGCTGCAAGTTAATACCACTTCTCGTAATATTAATTTTATTCAATTATATGCTCCTACAGCAGAAAAACCAGAAAGATAAGTACGAGAATTCTACCAAGAGATCAAACAGCTAATGAAGATCACAAAGAAAAATGCTGTAAACATTATTATGGGAGATTTTAATGCCAAAGTAGGTGAAGGGCGGACCGAAGACGTAGTAGGAAACTTTGGTTTGTGCCAAAGAAATGATAGAAAAGAAATACTGGTCCAATTTTGCCAAGAAGAAAATCTAATGATCGCAAACACCTGGTTTAAACGACCGAAAAGAAGATTATATACATGGAAAGCACCTGGCGATAATCAAAACCACATAATAAGAAACCAGCTATATAGTACAGGCAGATATAGAGAAAACACTCAATTATACACTCAAAAAAAAGTTCACTGAAGCACCCGCGGAAGCAGAAGAAACAATAGAAAGTGTTTGGCACACCTTCAAAACAACAATCACAACTATACAAAGAGAACAACTACAAGACAACATCAGAAAAACAAAGAATACATGGATGACAATAGAAGTCCTGGAATTGATGTACATAAGGAGATCTTACAAAAATCGCAATGAAGAAAAATATAAAGAAACCCAGAAAATCATTCGAAACAAAATTAGGAAAGCCAAAGAAGAATATATGAGCAGCAAGTGTGAGAAACTAGGAGGTTTACTAAAAAAGCATGACTACTTTAATGCATACAGAAATATTAAGGAAGAGTAAGGAAGGAAATAGTATCTAATTCAGAAAATGTAGAAGATATGTGGGAAAAATACATCGAAGATCTGTTAGAACCACAAATGAATATAGTACAAGAAATAATACTTGATATATTAACATCGGAAGTTACAAAAACAATCAATACGGCAAAGCCACGAAAAGCCTCAGGTCCAGATGAAATATACGTAGAGATGATAAAACTTATCAATGAAGAAAATCTTTAGACGTTAACAATATTATTTAACAAAATATATACCACTGGAATATCCCCAGAAGACTGGCTTAGATCGACATTTATACCTATACCCAAAAAAATAAAACAAATAGATGCTCACAGTTCAGATTAATTAGCCTGATGAGCCATTTTCTGAACATTTTACTCAAAATTGTACATCAACGAATATACAGAGAATGCGAAAGAAACCTGAGCAACAATCAATTTGGATTTCGTATGGGGCTTAGTACAAGGGAGGCATTATTTGGCCTCCAGATATTACTACAAAAATGCCGAGATCTGCGAAAAGACGTGTTTCTCTGTTTTATCGACTACAAAAAGCGTTTGATCGATTAAAACATACAGAACTCATAGAAACCCTAACACAACATGGTATATACCATAACATTGTAGCACTTATTAAAAAACTATATTGGGATCAAATGGCGTCGATCAAAATAGACAATCGTCTGACAGCAGAATTACCAATAAAAAGAGGAGTTCGTCAGGGCTGTGTACTTTTTCCACTGTTTTTTAATATATATTCCGAAAATATCTTTCAAATTGCCCTCGAAAATATTGAAGAAGAAATAAAAATCAACGGAGAATACGTAAACAACTTAAAATACGCATACCACACCGTCATTATTGCGAACAGTGCTGAGGGTTTACAACGATTTTTGAATGTACACGTGCACCAAATGTCGACATTAAGTCGTATCTATAACAATATGTATAGAATATGCTAGGTCCGCATTTCAACGAATG